CTACAACTGGCGGCATTCCCAGGAGCTCAACTTCGGTGACCACCGTCAGTGGGGGTCCTCTGATGCAGCCAATTGGTGGAGCAATGATTCGCGAACCTGCAAACGACCATCACCTAGCGCTAACCAATGGCCCTGCCAACGCCGGCGACGTCGAGACCGACTATCTGAACCAGTTGGTCCTGTTCAACACGTATGGAGAGACAGATAATGCTGACGCCCACCTGTTGGACAGCTCCTATCCTCCGGCTGGATTTACCGGCAATTCGTTCTTCCCAAATGGCACTTTTGTTCCAGATGCGCTTAGTAAGCTGTGCCTCAAAATGTATCTTACCAATTATTGCTATATCCTCTATCTTATGCTTACACATTTTGAGAAAGGTCATCTTCTTCTTTCTTTATTTGATGTTCATTTTCAAGTCTAGAATTTGTTAATTGTTAAGCTCAATCAAGGTAAAAGGGAAATCAGCAAGTAAAGCAAAATTCTGCAGTTTAAAGGAATACAGCATTTGTTTCAGCCATATTATTTATTGAATTTGTTTGACCTTGTTTTCGCAACTTGGTCATATTGGTATGAAGACTTAGAGGACGCATCTAGTCCTGAGTCCATTGTGTATGCATGATCATTTACAAAGTCGAACCGTGGACGTGGTACATTTTCAGACGTTTGTGGTATTTCTCCTTCTGTCATGGGCTATTCACCCTTCCTATATCCTCGTATCACGCCTTCACTATCACTATATCTTTATGTTTTTTTCTTGCTTATTTAGATGTATTGTGGTGTGCCCTTTTGAGCGGCCCACACTGGCGTTCTCACCCACCTTCACCCTTGTGCTGGGAATGTTGATCACAGTCTGCCATATTGTTAGGCGGCTCTCCTTCCCTAGGTCTCATCACAGTTTCCCTCTTGCCCCGTAGAATCCGGATGTTATCTCCCCGGTTCAAGTATTTCACTCGGGCCCTGCCACCCCATCTCGGCTACTCGAGTCGTAATTTTCCACACTTGAGGCTAAAACCCATGACATAAGGACAACTGTTTCGCACCAATTTGGTCCAAGGATCTACTTCACTTGTCTCTTTTGACGAGTTGTGGTGTGGTTTTAAAAGTTGCAAGACTCATTGACGTTCCCGGCTATGATGCCGGCGAAACTTCTGGGAATGTACCACGTCCACGGTCCAACTTTGGATCTGATCCTATAAGTCTTCGTACTAATATGACCAGGTTGCGATAACAAGGTCAAATAACTTGTATACAACGAAAGGAGACTGCGACCACGCAAAAGGCTACACCATCTTGGTCTTCATATCTTCCATATTCTTTATTGTTTACTATTATTTTTTACGAAACGATTCTCATGTTAAGTGTTATTCGCCACAATTAGCCGTCAACATTGTCAGTATTTGCAAGATCTTGAACATAAGCTCTCTGAGTTTGGAGGAGGGTGCTTGCCATTTAGTTTCCTTTTTTGGTTTTGGCTTAGCAAAGCTTGAAAAGCTTGATAATTGCTCGGAATCGAAATTTCGAAATATGTTAATTAAATAAAACTTTACCCACTCTGTTATTTTTCCCACCACTGGCTGAGGATTAATTGCTTGATTATGCCATAGCGTATAGTGCAGAATAACTCCTTTGCATCTCCTTAGCAACAAAGTATCGCCTTCTTGAAATGCACTTTTAAATACAAGCTTCAATCAGCCTAGATTGCTTGAGATGGGGAAGGCGAAATAAACGATATTTTTTAAAGTTATTCGCAATTAAGTTAGGGATATCTAATGAAGCGATAGTTTGAGCCTTAAGAACTTCTATAATCCCAAAATGCTTAGCTTATTTTATCCAGTGAAATAGGGAAATTAAAGTATTTTCATCCTGCTGCGTTTGTATTATATAAAGGTATTTTATGCCGCCATTATTGGTATAATTTTAGTATAAGCAAGTTGCAATCCTGTAACTGTTTGCAAGAGAGATTATTGCTTAATTCTTACTTTCCAAGATTTAATTTATTTAATATCATCTCGTTTTGCTATTGGACAGTTGCAGCAATTACACATCTTGAATAGGTTTAAGTCACTTTTCACTTAGAGCAGAATTATACGGTGCTTTCATAAAATTACGATTGCGAGGCAAGCTGATTCGACAAGATTTGCCAAAGTTATAGCAGCTAGCCTAAATATCTCCCGGAAACAGCCATCGTAAAGTTGCTATAGTTTGTAGATACTGAGCTTCTTGGAATGTGAACTCACCACAATTACCCTAAGCAAAACCGACCAGAACTTACTCAAAAATGCTTAGCGGAGATGTCTCAAGGGGTAAATGACTTTTATTACCATACATCTCTATACCTCTTATTCAGGCACCAATCGTCCACGTTTCCTATAATTTTTTTTATTAAACTCATTAGAACCGGTCCACTATCACAATAAGTACTCGCTTTAAGTAGTTCTTTTAGCATTTTCATGATAGTTATCGACAAACTTTCATATTAAAAAAAACATATAAAGTTACAGAAAAGAAAGACCACATATAACACTATTCTAAAGAGTTGATTTTATGTTAAAATGTGAATGTGCTAAAATGTATTTTATGTTAAATTCCATAAGGGAAACAGGCTTATCTGACTTTTCGAAAGTAACTGATGTATTGTCTACGTTTTTATTATGCAGCCTTCTTTAGTCTCATTCTTTTATATCTCACACTAGGAAAAGTCGCCATAAAAAGCTAAATTCAAATTAATTATACTCAATTATCTTCTCTTCTGCGATACTCGGTAAACCACAGATAAGAATTTTGAGTCATCGGATCGACTATTCTAGAATACTATATAGAAAATACAAAATTGTTAGACGAGATACCAACAAAATTCAGCACTCCCCAAATTAAGCTGGAACAAATTTATTAACGCAAGCTGATTCCTAATGCCTCTTATGGGAGATGTAGAAGGACGCTCACAAAGCTAATAAGATGGTATAAATTGTGCATATTCAAGATTATGGTTGCACTTGAAGTTTCACCGCAAATTCTTCAGGAATCGATGCACACTCTTTGTATCCTTGTTGGATTCTGCTTCTGAAGTTTGATCAATTTAACATTTTTTGCTTAATTTTTCTCCAGAAAATGGAAAAAATTGCTTGACCATTACTAAACTCTCTTTGATGTTGCCCGGGCTTTCATTCAAGTGAAATTGTCGTTGCGTTGACATTTGGAATGAGGGAGATTATTCATTGCAAATTAATTCAATCTACAGGATTGACAATAACGGATCCTTAATATTCATAGTAAAATGTGTACCAAAATAAAATGATTTCTCAGTAAAATGTTACATATTTTCAGCGTTTTTCGCCTCAACGGCATAACA